TTAAGAAAAGTACCCAATTCAGTTGGACAATGGTCTTTACTGAGTCAGACTTTTTTTTTAAATCATCAAATGACTGCTCCCGTCTGGGTGAGGCGGGAGGGAGTGTCAGACTTTTACTGACTAAAAACCACCCCGTTCCTTCTCCTGCACGTCGAGTCGGAGCCCCGGTTACCCGTTAGGTTCTCCGCGATTCCGAATCACTGAGTCAGACTTACGAGCCCATTGTGATATTCGACAAGTACTTATAAAATAAAAAAAAAAACCTTCAAGTCTCCGTCTGCTATTCTACCCTTCATACACCCACATTCACACACACTTCATATACGTTTTCAAAAATACCAAAGATATGACGACACACGTTCAAATCTTAATATTTCTGCAGAACAATATAAAAACTATATTAACACGCATATCAAAGTATACTCCACTGCCAATGAACTTAAAACTTTATTCCGAAAAGTTTAAGGATAAAAATGCACTAAAGAAACAGTGGAGCTTGACGTGATTTTGTAAGTGTTCACTTATTAAAGTAGACGTCACTATCAGTACATTTACAACTCTTTTACCAGAATTATAAGGTCTAAAATGTAACAAAGAGATTTGATATTTCGGTATAGATTGATATGCGTCTACAGTGCAATACAATGCATGTTCAAGTGGTGTACCTAAGTAAACATGGATGGGACATGCCGATATCCCGAGTGGGTTTTTGTGTTACATATTTTTATGCCAGTGATGTGATGTGTCGATGTCGATAGTTTTTTTATATTATTTTGTCTAATATAATAATATTTATTTTAACTTCTTCACAAAAACTGCAGTAAATGGCGGACTTAATACCTTAAGGCATAATATAACTCATTTTGCCAATTTTTTGGCTGAATGGTAAGCAAAACAATATGCTGGGTGACTTGTATGCCTGGCTTACACTGAGTGGGTGACCCTTTTACCATAGGCATGTTGTCAGCGTCTCTCTTCTAATTCTTCTGTTTCAATTGTTCAACTCGTTATATTTTTATTACTTCCACTGTCACATCTTGATTGTCTTTTTTTTTTTTATTTATGTATGCTGCATCGTGCCTGGTGCTAAATAAATGTTTTTTCTTTCTTTCTTTCTTTCTTCTTTCAAAAATCGTGCATTTAAATGAAGATGTACAAAAACACAATAAATATATTCATTATTCAAATGAAATGACAAAGAAAAAAGCTAAAAATCAAATATTAATCGCTTTTTTTTTCATTTTCTTTTAAACTATTTTTATTCTCGACAACATTATCGACATTGTTCTTTAATTTTTTGCAAAAACATATCGATAATTTACACAACGCACAACACTAAACAAACACAACTAAAAATAAAAAAAATATTCGAAAATCTCTGTAAAACCTGCTACTGTATTACCTGTCACAGTTTTAATATTTACTCATGGTTAAAATTCTTCCTATAAACCAACATCAAGATGACAGATACGAAATAACATAACATAACATCACGCCTTTTATCCCCGAAGGGGTAGGCAGAGGTGCACATTACGGCGCCTAATACCACTGTACAATGTAACAGCCACTTTTCACTATTCATGTTATGAGTCCCATGTAATAGGAGGTGAGACTTGCCATATACCGGGCACAATTCCAGACTCCGTGCTACTACTGAGTTTTTTTTTAAACCCAGTAATACTTTGCCCGGCCAACGAGGCAGTGCAGTCTAGTTCTGTCTCTACAAATTCTTTGTTAACGATAACGATGGCACGATATTTAAGTACAATTTAAAATTGAGTAGCCTTTATTCATAAAGCAAGCAGCTCTCTCTGATGAACCTGAACATTTTAAACTGTTACCTCCAACCCGCCTGCCTGCGGAGATTACGACAAAACCTCCTATGTAAAGGAGGCTCATAGTGCAGCAGTAGACTGTTAATGGTTGTTAACAGGCAGTATTTATTAGCTCGATCTTAACAAACTTTTATTTAATTTATAATGTACTAGCAGCCCGTCCCGGCTTCGCACGGGGTAGACGACTATTTATTTTTGGAAATTTGGATTGTTGTAGTGACATAACTACAATAGTTGGACATATGCTACCGCGGAGTTTTTTGTACATATTATGATGTTCTTCAATATTGTTATATATTATTTTGTTCTATCGCTAATAGTTTGGGCAGCGCATTCGACGAAAGACATTTTAAGACTCATTTTTCTACACCTTCGGTTATATTGTTCAAATTTTACCAAGGATCCCTAATTTTTTTCAAAATGAAATGTAGCCTATGTCAAATTGGAAGAATGTAGCATTCTATTGGAGAAAGAATTTTTTCGATCGAAAATTAGGACAGTTATTAAGAATAAAGATTCAAAATATTCCAGAACACAATTTAGACACGTCCTTAAAACGTTCGATCAATCGATACGAAACATATCGATATTCGTAAGTAAATCGATTGTAGATTAAAATCGATACAATCGTCGTTTTGTCCGCATGATTTGAGATCGTGACTCTGATTCGGAATATTTTTTGAAGTGGATTCCTTTGTTAGTTTATTCGTTGACCACAGGTAGATACGACGAGACCTAAGTACGTATCGCCTGGATAGTCGACAGTATCATCAGTTGCCTGGGCAATCTCTACACTACATGAGTCACTGTTTATATGTTACCATTCACTCGTGACGATATCTAAGTACGTATCGCCTGGACAGTCCACGCTACCAACAGTTGACTGGACCATCTCTACACTACATGAGTCACTGTTTACATGTTACCATTAGCTCATGACGATACCTAAGTACGTATCGCCTGGTCAGGCCACGCTACCATCAGTTGACTGGACAATCCCTTCACTACATGAGCCACTGTTCACATGTTACCATTAGCTCATGACGATACCTAAGTACGTATCGCCTGGACAGTCCACGCTACCATCAGTTGACTGGACAATCTCTAAACTACATGAGCCACTGTTACCATTAGGTCATGACGATACCTAAGTACATATCGCCTGGACAGTCCACGCTACCAACAGTTGACTGGACCATCTCTACACTACATGAGTCACTGTTTACATGTTACCATTAGCTCATGACGATACCTAAGTACGTATCGCCTGGTCAGTCCACGCTACCAACAGTTGACTGGACCATCTCTACACTACATGAGTCACTGTTTACATGTCACCATTAGCTCATGACGATACCTAAGTACGTATCGCCTGGTCAGGCCACGCTACCATCAGTTGACTGGACAATCCCTTCACTACATGAGCCACTGTTCACATGTTACCATTAGCTCATGACGATACCTAAGTACGTATCGCCTGGACAGTCCACGCTACCATCAGTTGATTGCACGATGCCTACGTTACTGTTTACATGTTACAATTAGCTCATGACGATACCTAAGTACGTATCGCCTGGACAGTCCACGCTACCAACAGTTGTCAATCAATCTCTAATGAGCTGTTGTTTTCGTTGTACGGTAGTCAAAAACAATTATACCTTTACAAAACTGTACAACAATTTGTCAGATACGTACGATAAATGTATTTTTTTTTGTAACAAAATGATTAATGTTTATTTAACTTAAAAATGGTTGGCTATAAGTATAAACGTGTGGTCTAAGTGATGAGATATTAACTATACGGGTATAAATAATCTTATTAATATTATAAATGTGATAGTTTCTTTGTTTGGATGTTTGAAACTAGTGAACTATGATAAAGTTTGGTACACTGGCAGGGTGGACTGACTTAGGTGATTGGATAATTTTTATTACTTTTAAATTCTCCTGGATGAAACCGGAATACGCAGACAAAGCCGCGGGTTAAAGCTATACCTATATAAAAATTACAAAGCCACCACGTGACCGCAAGAAGCAAAAGAATACCAAAGCTGGGAGACGATTGGCGTGCTATAGGGTCGCAGGCGGAGCTACGTACTTGAAAAGACATATAAAATGTCAACACGTTAGTGTCGCCTCAACAGTATGCAATCGAAGCCAACATCTCAAGTTTCGCAGTTGCATTACAACGATATCTATTCAATTCCATTGTAACGTATTTAAAATTATTGATTAACATCTTTATTATGCTTTATTAAAATGTACAGTGGACTAACCTACTCTTTCTATATTCGATTTACAACTCTATGGTTTAGATATTAATTCGTAAATCCAATGATAAAAGTTGACACATTAAGTAGGTTGTTTTATGTTTGATGGGCCGACGTATGCCCACTATCTCGCCTCGTGGTAGGCGATGATGCGGTCTACGATGGAGCACGTCGTCCCATAAGCAACCTATTCACTCGGGCCTTGAAGACTCCCAGGTTATATGTTGATACGATGGCCACTGTACCTAAATGAAAACAATATAAAACCGCAGTCTCCTCCGCTTTGGGCCACACCTTAACCCACCGCCGCCGTGTGTGGTACAAAGATCCCAATGACATCGATTCATTTATCATCAACATTTTACTCTAAACGTACAGGTTACACGTCTACCTTTGGTTTGTACACCGACATCGTGTGTCTGCTGTAGGTTTTTTTTCTTTTTCGTGTATACCGAAAATGTTTGGTCAGATAAGGGAGATTGTGTATTATTTTTGAAGATTTTAGGTCTAAATTTTAGGCTACGGTCTAGGCTATAGGAATATGTTACAATTAAAGCTACTTGTTGTGAATTTGTGTATAAATGGCGTGTTAAAATTTGAAGTTAGCGTCAATTGTTTATTTCAGTTAAGATATTAAGTTTGTTTTTATCATCTAGCTTTTTAATTTTACGTAAACTAGATAGTTTAGGAAAAGCTAATTTTATATCCGTATTTAATCTAGATCCATGAAAGATTATCTGCCAAAATAAAATACCACATGAAATTCTCGAACCATCTACCTTCAGAACAAACTAAAACATTATGTCTAAGTACACGAGCAATCGTAGAAACAATAGTTTGCAAAAAGTTTACGGGATCTATCAGACCTAGTAACTATAAAGAAGATGCCACTGACCTGATTATGGTAATGCGCCAACGGGTGATGCGGCACATGCCGCATCGCCGGGTGAAGCATCTCCGAGCTGGATGTAGACCCGCTGCTGCTGCCCTCTATCGCCTATAAACAGAATTGAAGGTGGAACGAGCTATCGAAAACACAATTTCTTTTAAGCATTTTAGATTATCTTCTCTGTGATAATATGACAATTAAATCTCCACGGACTTGTGTTAAAAGGAACACCCATAAATCTAGAGCCTAAAGAGTGTCTTGGGGATTTTTGACTTACGTTGCAAAACTCATTCGTTTTAAAATTTTGATTAGCCACATAGATTTAGAGCTTCAATTCATATCAGTCGTCAAACGAGCAATGAGATTAATTATTATGTTTTCGGCTTACTCACGTAACTATTTGACGAGGAACTCGACAGTCACCGCGTGCGAGTCGCAGAATGCTGCTCATGAATATGAGCCTCTAGCATGGCTTGAAACTAGTCTAATTCCTCGTCAAACAATTACGCGAGTAAGTCGAAAACATAATAATTAATTAGTATGTCTCAAGTTTAAATTTTTTTTTAAACGTTGCCCCACACTAGGATTTTCTCCTGTGTCGTGGGTGCATTTACAAACATACAAGTTCACATCACACACAGACCCGAAACGACAATTTGTGGATCACACAAAGTGTTGTTCCGTACGGGAATCGAACCCGCGACACGTTGCTGGGCAGCCGGTTGCCCAGCCACCGCACCAACCGTGCAGTCATATGGGCTATACGATGTAAAATAATTTCAATAACACTCGAGTTTAGAACACTCGCTTCATCGTACTTGAAAAATTCTCCAGAATAACCAATAGCCACAAAACAATAAAAAACAAAACAGTGTACCACAACCTGGACAAACAACCATCCTTCTGAAGCTGAAAAGACGCTATCATCAGAGGTTCCTTGTCCAGGTCTCGAGTCTTACTTCCGGCGGTTCATTCTTGGTCTCCGGCTCCTCGCCGAGCTCGACGAGGCCAAGGGCTTCTTCCAAAAGATCAAAACGGGATTCTTCACTGCTGACCAGCTCACGAGGAAGGTCACCTTGGATCACGTATTCACCTGGAAAGAGGGGTTTTTGGTTAGAAGGGCTGTAGAAAAAGGATAATTATACATACCTACGGCATTAAATCGTCCAGTTTAACAGTAGGTACAGTTTTAAATAAATAAATACATGTGTATAAGTAAAGGTAAAAAAAATTTTTACATCTGTGCTAAATTTCATCTAAATCGGTTCAGCGGTTTTGTACATAAAACGTTTAATATAATACACTAGCTTCTGCCCGCGACTTCGTACGCGTAATCCCATTTTTCCCCCGTTCCCGTTCGTGATTTTCGGTAAAAAGTAAAAAAAGTATTCTATAAAAAGTATCCTATGTCCGTCTCCTGGTTCTAAGCTACCTCCTTGCCAATTTTCATCTAAATCGATTGAGGCGTTCTTGAGTTATAAACAGTGTAACTAACACGACTTTCTTTTATATATCTTACCAATAGTTTAGAATCCTTATTTAAGTCACAGCTACAGCAATAATAAGCGTCCAAACAAAAATCAACGAACGGATTTTTTCAATATCAAAAATACAAAACGGCACGAACATAAAAAAAATATTGTATTTCTTTGTTTATATTAAAAGCAGCTCGACAGTCGCCGCGTCGCGGAATGCTGCTCATGAATATGAGCCTCTACAATGGCTTTAAACTAGCTAAGTTCCTCGTCTAACAGTTACGTGAGCAAACTGCAAACATAATAATTGATTATTTTATTACTTTCCTTAGTTTTACAACACCTGAACAGTAACTTTGTACTCACGACTACTATCTTTTACTACAGGAAATTAACGACACATCTAAGACAAAAACAAAACCAAGTTAATCTCACCAGAACAGAGCACCAGCATAATAAAACCAACTACAATAAACTAAACAAAAAATATGCACCCGTAGAAAAAAAAATACTGCAAAAATTTCAACCAAACAGTCTTTCATCAACTCCCACGAGGCGACAAAAAAACTATAAGCAATGCCGCTGTGTACTCCTTCGAAGTAATTTTTCTATAATCTATACAATAAGAGTCATAAATCATTATTGTACTATTGTTTAAACCCATTGACCACAAGCTTTTTCATAAAAATAGTAGCAAATTATCTTCTTTTGAAAAGCGGGGTCTTTTGGACCGACCGCCTAATTATGCACGGACTCAGTAGCGAAAGGGTTAGCGACAAAACGTATAGTTATTGTTCTAAGAAAATTATTGCTAAAATTTCGCTTTGTAGGGTTCGGTTTTGTAATGTGGAAGTTACGTTTTTTTGGGTTTTATAAACCGGTTGGTTCTGATTTTGAGTGCTTTGTAAGTACTTTTTTTTTAATGGGGGGAAAATCATCGAATGACTGCTCCCGCGGTGAGGCGTGGGTGGTGTGAATGGGTGAGGCGGGAGCGAGTGTCAAACTCTTACTGACTAAAAACCACCCCGTTCCTTCTCCTGCACGTCGAGCCGGAGCCCCGGTTACCCGTTAGGTTCTCCGCGACGCTTTGTACGTATTGGGTACTAGACAGTGTATGAAAATTAAAAATGTACTAATTAATCCTGTCAGTTAGATAATGCATATTTTCACCATTTAAACTGTCAAACACCAAGCGGTCACCGGTGACCGCAACCTATTGTTCTTTAATTGTGTCTATAATGACGGTATTCGACGAGTTAAATGGTACATTATTTCAGGACATGTTGCCACTGAAAGCTAGTGAAAAAAGACCACAGGAACTGTTTTCCTTAAACTCAAACTACCATTGCCGTAATAATCGTATCACATGCGTAACACCAATCTAAAACGGCTCGCGATTGGTCGTCCATGAAGGTCACAAGATGGCCGAAATCAAAATGGCGTTGGTGATCGGAAAACAATTAAAACATGTGCCTTTTTTATTCAACCACCGGACGAAATTCGGTACGGTACCGGAGATTGTGTGTAGGTAAATTTTTTTAATGATTTTCGTCGCTCGTTGACTGTCGAGTCTGCCGGTTCGATCCGGATTCGTCTAGATATTCTGATCCTATGATATCTTCTGGCTGCTTACTCTCGAATCCAATTCCGATCGATCGACATTGACATTGTGAAATTTCGTACTCTTGAGTTGTAACACTAGCCCCCATTGCATCCGTATTGCGTGGATATTTCATGAACTAAATGGTGTTGAGTTTGTTTTTATGATCCGTACTCTGAATGCTACTTTAACAGCTACGGTAGGGGTTGTATAGTTTTAACATTGGATACTTATTGAGATTTTATTGGATTGCAATTGCATTGACATTGAGATTGGTTTCAAGAGTAAGCACCCTGATTTATTTGAGTTTAATGGCCGAAATTCATCATCGTATCAACAGCCTATAAGTGGCCACTGCTAAATAAAGACCTCTTATCGCACGGATAAGATTTGAGCATTAATCACCACGCTTGCTTATTGCCATAATTTCAATCCTTGAATAAGAAAACATATAAATTTAGTACGTCTAATAAAAGTTATAATATAAATAACTGGCAGATAGTTTATAGGTACATTCTATTCCTGTCTTATAATCTATACTAATATTATGTCGCGGAGAACCTAACGGGTTACCGGGGCTCTGGCTCGACGTGCAGGAGAAGGAACGGGGTGGTTTTTAGTCAGTAAGAGTCTGACACTCCCTCACAATCATTCGATGATTCCCCCCTTAAAAAATACTAATATTATAAAGCTGAAGAGTATGTTTTTTGTTTGTTTGTTAGGTTGCGCTAATCTCCGAAACTACCAGTCCAATTTCAATAATTCTTTTTGGGTTGGATAGTACATTTATCGAGGAAGATTATAAGGCTAAAACATCACGCTACGATCATTAGGAGCCGAGTAGAGCGGGTGCAACCGCGCGGAAGTAGCTAGTTTGGTCAGCCACAGTGACCACTCTAAGTTGCTTATACAAATTACGTTCTAAGTTCTTCAATGTAATGGCGTTCTATATCTCTGCCTATTCCCCATGGGAGACAGGCGTGAAGTTATGTATGTATATTCTTCAGTGTAAATGGATGAGAATTAGATGTCACGTCACCCATATTTGACGTTTGAAATTTCAAGATGGCGGACGCAGCTGATTGCTTACAATTGTCTATAATTGTAACAAATAGAACTTTACGCTATTGGTCCTCACGAATTGATGTCAATTTAAATTTAATGGAGAATTATGATTGACGCTTGTAACTCGCGCCTATTCTCCGAGGGGTAGGCAGTATCTATACATATAATGAAGCTGTAAATGTGTAAATTCTGTACATTGAAAATACAGAGGTGACGTCACTTCTATGTACATTTCATACGTTATACGTAGAAATGACGTTTTAGCCCCCACTCCTAAACTTTGATTCGTTTTATCTATTGTTTTATTATACGACAAAATAAAAAAATACGTGTCTAATATTTTTTCATTACATAACTTGCGGACTAATTAGATTATTAATTTTCATACCTTGTCATCATCCCTATTTCACCCCCTATAACATGGGACACATACCATAACTTGAAATGGGTGTTAAATAAAATTGCGTACAAAATTCGCTCAAATTACCTCAATCCAAGTAGATATCGATCAAAAATCCCCAAAGTCAGTGTCAAAATAATGAACAATACAAATGATCGACACGCCAATGATCCATGGATCATAGAATCTATAGATCAATTCACTTTCGGCGCACGCGGCGTGACAAGTCATTGCCAAGGTTACAACAATAGTTTTTGTGTTATATTATGCAATGATCTATTTTTATTTATTTGTTTCATTTAGAGATTATATATAGCTGATTTTATTTATATAGGATGTCGAGGATGGATGAAAGTAGAGTAACGAAAGTACACAGAGTGGATATGAATGGGGCTGTCGGTAGAGGGCGCCCTAGACGAACATATACTAACCAGATTGGCGATATATTAAAGAAGGGCCAAATTAAAAGTACCCTTAACCGACGAGCATGCATGAAAAGGTAGACGATTGTTGATGAAGCGAAAGAGGTATGTAGGAATCGTAGCAATTGGCGTTCCATAGTAGAGACTATAATTATATAACTGTTTCCCAAGGGGGTAGACAGAGGCCTAGGCTGTTAGGTTGTCAGTTTCAACGTTATATCGACTGAAAATGCAGTATTTTTATGGAATAATATGTAGTCCCTTGAGGGGGGAAAATCATCCAATGACTTCTCCCGCCTTGAGTAAGCGAGGGACTAATAAACACCACCCCGTTTCTACTCCTGCTCATCGAGCCGGAGCCCCGGCAACCCTTTAGGCCGTCCGCGGCTCTGTGTGCGTAGTCTCCTGGCGTTTACCATACCCGCGGAAAGCGATGAAGACATGTGTGTATTTTTATTTTAAGTTTAATGGCAGAAATCATTGTATGAGTCCCACCGCTCTGGGTGACGCGAGACTGTGTCAAGCTCTTACCGACTAAACACCACCTGGTTCCTACTCTAACATAGAGCCAGAGGTCTTAGGCCGAGTTTGTCATACGTTTAAAGTAATCGCAACGATACCGCGTTCGGCATTCTGATTGGTTGGTCCATTGGAGCCGGCCAATCAGAGTGCAGAACGCGGTATCGCGGTATGTATAATTATTTCGTGTGTAATGTATGTATAGTATTTATAAATGTTTAATGTATTAGTTTTTTTTTTTAAGGGGGAAAATAATCGAATGACTGCTCCCGCCTGGGTGAGGCGAGAGGGAGTGTCAGACTGACTAAAAACCACCCCGTTCCTTCTCCTGCACGTCGAGACGGAGCCCCGGTTACCCGTTAGGTTCTCCGCGACTCCGAATCGGCATCGGCCGTATTGGGCCCCATCTGTGGTGGTCTGATGGCTCTATGAGGCGCGCGCGGAACGCGACGCGCCGTACGCTCGGGTAATGTATTAGTTTATAGTATTCGATATGGGCCTATGATGCCTGAAATAAATGGATAAATAAAAAAAAAGGTATCTGAGCTGCGATAACTCCTTGGGGATGTCTGCAGCCCCGGTTGAAGCGTTACTCTACTGCCACTATACAGT